TATTATATTATATAGAGCCTAGCCTGTGGCATAATAACTTTAAATGCAAACCGTCAGTGAGGCGCACAAAAATGACTGCCAGCTGTGCTACATTTGGCAGCGGCTTCTGGGATTGGGACTGGGACTGGGACTGGGTCTGGAAGTGGGACAGCGCGCAACTTAAAGGCTGCACATGCCACAAGCCACGAGCCAGCCTCACCAGCCATGGAACGCCCCTGCCCGGCCACAGCTTAACCCCCTTTAGCCCAGGCCACGGCACGGAGCGTTGCACAGAACGAGCTGCTTATTCATTTAATTTTCAGAGAAGCCGAAGCCCAAGGAGTAAATGGGTTTTGCATGGCGCAAGGTAGGCCGAGGGGTTGCAGTGGGGCTTAAGGTGGCTCTGCCCGACTGTCAGTGGCTCAGTTAGTCCGTCCGTCAGTTGCTCAGTTCATCCGTCCGTCCGTCCGTCCGTCTGTCCGTCTGTCAGTCAGTCAATCAGGCAGTTGGCTCAGCTACGAAACTTTTGGCTGCCACGCACAATTTTCCACTTTCAACTTTCGTCAAAGGGGGGGGCGACGGCGGCGGATGGGCGGGGACGACTGTTTGTTGTTGTTGCTGCTGCTGCTGCTGCAGGGTGGTTGTGCGTATTGAGCTTTATGCTTGGCTGATGTTGCGATAAGCGGCTCGAGCAGGCAATGTTGCTGTCGTCGTTGTTGTTGTTGCTGTTGTTGTTGTTGCCACAGCCGCAGCCGCAATGCTGCACACACACCACTCACACTTACTCTTACTCAAATACTCACACACACACATAGCAAAAGCAGCCCCTGGCGCTTAGTTTGTGTGTGGGCGAGCAGTTGAAAAATAGGAGGCAAAAGCAGTTGCTCATGCTTGTTGTTGTTGCTATTGTTGTTGTTGTAGTTGGCGCCCAATGTAAAAGTTGCTGAAAAGTGTAACGCAGTTAATGCCAGCAGCAGGGGGGCAGTGGGCGGCGGCCGGTGTTTGGTGGGCGCTGAGTAGAGGGGGCGCTAGTGTCGGGTAAAGTAAAGTTGGGGAAGTTGGTTTTTGCTTCTGCTGCTGGTTCTGGTTGCTATTGCCGCCGACGCTGCTGCTCTTGCCGCTGCTGCTGCTGTTGCTGCTGCGTCGCCTACGCGGCATAGTTTTAACTGTGTTGCTGCTATACACTAACCAAAAGTGATTTACTAGACTATCAGAGGAAAGTGAAGTCTAGGGACTGGTCCAGCTGGTCTGAGCTGAGCTAATAATTCAAAGCAGGTTTAGCTGAGCTACAATGTTAGCGTTATTATAAAAATAATAATATAATAAT